GGGGGGGGGGGGGGGGGGGGGGGGGGGGGGGGGGGGGGGGGGGGGGGGGGGGGGGGGGGGGGGGGGCATGGACGTCATGGACGTCATGTTGAGTGAGGCAGTGTGGAGGGCGACGGGGGTTGAAGGGCCTCTGCCCGGCGGGGCATGTGTCTCTCGGGAGATACGCCCGGGGAGGATGCTCGTGCAGCTGTAGCGACTGCTTCTCCCGCGATGAAGAAGCACTTCGAGAGTATGTCGGTCGTAGTTGTTGCTCCTGCTTTGGTTGGTGTTGATGCTGCTGCGCGTGCGCGAAGATGTTCACGTGAGGTCCACCTCTTGGGATTCGGTTTCAGAAAGTCGGCGTTGGAACGGTTGTGTACTCGGAATAGAACAGCAAATACAACGTGACTAAATACGCACAGACAGACCGCGTTGTTATTCCTACGGCGGTGGCAACATCGAGGTTGACGTTTCTCTCTCTCCTGTGTTGCGCGTTACTAGACAAAATTGGAGCATCCTTACCTATACAATAGGGTGCGCGGATTGATGAGTACACGCATTCTGCCGACCGCCGCGGTCTGTTCACCCGTACCGCATGTAATATGTTTTATGGATGGGTCACCGTTGCTACGGGTACCTTGGCTGAAGTGTCAATTCAAGGCTCGGTGTGGGAGCGGGAGCGAACGAACTTGAACTGCTGGACATAAGCGTGCGCTACAACAGTAGGCTGGACTAAGCGTGCGCTACAGTAAGTCGTCTTGTAGGACCAGGTCGGAACGAACGATAAGTCAAGGACGGGTGCGTACTTTTCGTCGTTCTGTTTGACGGTGGAAACGCATTGATTGATTCATTCTCGACGTGGTATGCTTACATGTGGTTTATTTCGCGGATTGCATCCAAACAACGACGCCGGTACGCCGGGTGCAGGAGCCAAGCTACTGCTGGAGCTGTGTTCGGTGAAGGAGGGCACTTCTTTCTTGCACGAAAACACACAATGGATGGATGGATGGATGGTATTATTCCTCGGGAAAATCCCCAACGTGTTTTTCCCGTCGTGTAGGTCGGTCCCGGTACTCCGCGGGAATACCGTCACATTTCGAAATAATATACCGTGAACCGCCAAAAGCGGTACCGTAAAAAAACGAAGTACCGTCAACCGCCAAAGAAGTACCGTCATTTTGCAAAACCGCCGAAAAAGTACCGTCAAATAACGAAGTACTGTCAACCGCCACAAGTGGTACTGTAATATTGTGGTACCGTCATACATACTGCGTTACCGTCAACAAGTACGATAAAAAAACGAATTACCGTCATCTGCGATACCGTGAAAAAGTACCGACAGGAATCCGCCAGCATCATTTATTTGCCGGTCATTTGTTGATTTATTGACGTGTCAAGAGAGGAAGTGCAGTTCAACTCCGGCATCCTTTGTTTTTTGTCGTTTTTTTTCTGCTTCTTTTTTTTCCTATTTCTTTTTTTTTTGGTCTTCGTTTGATATCAGACTCTCCCTTCTTCCCCTCGCTCCTCGACAAGCTTTTGCTTAGACATGGGTTGTAGTGAAGGGGGGGGTCTTTCTGGCGAGCAGGGCTAGACTCACCCTCAAGGGATGACCGAAACCTTCTTGCTGCTGCGCATATCCGCCGCGAGGCATGCGCGTGGTGGTGTAGTTGGGTCGGCACTGATGGGGTCAGGCGAAAAAATGTAGATGCGCGGGCCTCTGGCCGTCGGCGTAGGCAGCGATGCCCATCTCATTTTTTGTGCGCGGAGGCAGACACCGTCAGAAGGTGGACGGGAACTATGTACACGGCCCTAGGTTGGCTAGAGGGAGCTGTATTGCCTCAGTAACCTGGCTTCGCCATCAAAGGAGGAGGGAGCAGGTGGCGACGAGCTGAACTGGGCTGGTTGACCATTCGGCGCGAGAAATTTTACATTTTTCAGACCAAGAACCTTGAGTGCAATAAGGGAGAAAGCGAGGAACCGACTGGGAACGACAGCAACGAGAGCGTGTACGGACGGAGCAGGTCGAGTGGCGTTTTGCTCGGGCTGACTACAGCGGCGCCGGATGGAGCAGCGGCACCGGAGCATGCGGGCGACATCGACCCGTGGCGCACGGACAAACATTTCTATCTGTTGTCAATTTTTTCGTTTTTTTTCTGACTTTCCGTGTTGGTTTTGTGTGATGACGTCGTCACCGGATTTGTAGAGAGACCCGTCAGAGATGGCGTGGCTAACCCGGGTGCCTTGGTTTTGTGCCTGATCGTGGAAGACCCCTTCAATGTGGAACGATTCTTAGCTAGTGTCGCTATTTTTTACTGCAGTGCCCAACACAGACGATCGGGAGAGATTCGGGCGATTGTCAATTGCTGCTATGATGGCTTTGTTTGGTTGGTTTTTCTTTTTCACTGTACGGCCGCAGACACATTCTGACAGCACTTCAGACACTTTGTGCCCCGCCAGCTTCTTGTTCCATGCCTACCATGNTTGTTCCATGCCTACCATGGTGTTTTTGTATAGACAGCACTTCAGACAGCAGTATGCTGTAGTCGGCAATCTTCCGTTTTGGTATAGAGTGGGACAGGGAGGGGGTGATCCTACTGTAGTCCAACGGTGGGACGGACGTGCAGTTCAGTTTTTGGGCACGCATACGGTGCTGCAGGGAGTCGATGATGCTAATAATAAACACACGCGGTCCCAGAGTGCGTGCGGTCCAACAGAACCAGAAAGATGGCAGCTGCACAGGGGAATGCCGGTAGTAGTAGTTGCAGCAGTAGTAGTGTCGAGGGTGCTGGTGGTGCTGCTGGCGATGAGTTGAGTGGGAATTCAAGGGAACCGGTGGCTGAGAGCGTGCCAGTGTTGCAAAGCCCACCGGAGACTCAAGCCTCGGTCGACGCTGGCAACGGCAAAACCGTGCAAGTCACACTTGAAGAGCCTGTAGAGGGCAAAAGGATGTTGACATCTTCTTGGACGTGGCACTTTGCGAGTAGATTCAGCCCGCCCATCAACGGGAAGAACGTGGTGTGTATGGCGAAGAAGGCTGATGGGACAACCTGCAAGCACCTCATCATGAAGTGGGAAGGAGCAGCAACCGCAGCAGTAACCGGCAAGAGAGGGAAAGGCTCGGGAACTTCTGGCATTTCCAAGCACCTCGAGACAGCTCACAAGGTCGAGGTGGACAAATAAATATAAGGCTGAAATCGGCGCAGACGAGGACAAAAAAAGCGCCCATTCTAGCAGCAGCAATCGGTGAGTTAGTTGTTTTTTTTTGCTCACGACTACGGGGGATACCACCCCCCTTAGGAAAACTTATGAACATGTGGTACGTATATTCGTAGAGGTTTGCGGATTGTATGCCGCTAGATCTGCAATGGCGGGAGAAGCTTGGTGTGTACAACAGGCCCACAAGAACATGTATACTATTCATTTAAGATAAGAAGTATAACTATGCTATATCGGGAGGTGGAATAGTTCTTTTTGGTTGAAAAAAATACCTGGCTGGGTAGGGTTGTGCGGGAATATACACATTGGATAGCGTTCGTTCGCAGTCGCCCACATTTTTTTTTTTTTGTCTTCACTTCAAATCAGTGTTCACGACACTAGTAGTGCCGTTTACTCCAACCCGTGGTCACACAGAAGAGCCCCTCTCTACCCTCCTCTCCTGCGGGACTTTGAGTCGCCCACACACCTTTCGATAGCTAACAGCAGCAGTGTATGGCACACCCTTCTCCCGCCGTCTCGCCCTCGCTGTGGTCTGTGTCTCCCTCTCCCTGTTTGTTCATGTCTGTCTGGCTCTGTGTGTGTGGTGTGTGGTGTGCGAGGCTATCTGTCTTGGTTCAAAATCAAACGACGCCTCCTCTCGGTATTATTGCAAGGGGCCAGAAACTTCCCTGCTTCAAGTTGGGTACCGACGCTGCACTATCTCGACGCACCGAGCACGGATTGAAAAGGTAGCAGTTGGGGCAGCTCGGGCAAAATATTACTTACTTGCTGTTGTGAACACGTCTTAGATTGCAATTTGGTGCCTAGATGGTGAAATGGGCTCGAGTCTGCTGGCTTATTTATGGCTGGTCAGACAGACAGTCGGACAGCCTTGCTTGGCTGAAAACATCACCCCTCACCCAATGTTTTTCCGTCTTCTTCGCACATACGTACGTACATCACGATCCCTCTAAACATCTTTTTGCAAAACAAAAAACGCCCCTATCCGGGTCGTCACTCTTCTTGCATCAAAAACCTATTATAAAATTTACTGAGTTATTCGAAGGATCGGGTACATACAGAATATATAGTAATACCATATAATATACAGCTGATATATATAATATATAATATAATACTAGGAGTATAATATACTTCGTATATATACACCAGGTATCACTCCAAGTACTCCTGATATTTAGGACTTGTTCACTACTTTTCAGTCAAGCATTGCATTAAATATTGAAGATGTAAGTGTAAAAATATAAAAAATGTAAAAATACCCCTACCTGAAGAAAACTTGTGATGCATGTATGATTATTCTAGATTGCCAAGTATACATCATACATTATACAGTCACGATGCCCCTGCTCGACCTTCTTGCTTTCTGGCTTTCTGATTCGTCTTGTCCTCCGTTCGTTGCGTGCTATGTTGTTGTTGTTGTTGTTTCTCACATTATTAGCTCTAAAAAAGAAAGATGGGGAGCCCGTGGTCTCAAAACCCGGCATACACGACCCCACGAAGAAACAGAAAAAAGTAGGGTGGTACAAAAACCACTCGGAAGAGAAACAAAATGATAGAAAGAAAGACCAGCTACCGCACCAAACGAGAAAGAGCGTCGAGGAGACCGATCAAAATAAAATAAAAGGAGAACGGGGAACGCTTCCCACACCCGCCTACAACGCCGGAGGGTTCCGTGCCGGGTTCCCGCCGACCAGGCATCCCCCGCCCTGCACCACACCCCAGGGGGTGCAGCAAGACGGGGGGCGAAAAACAAACACATATATATTCCCACAAAAAAAATAAAAATCGAAGGACAACGTACACCATCAGCACCAGGTACTTCAGCAGTGCAGTATGCACCAGCGCATTAGTGTAGGGTAGGCACCGCACGAAAGAGGCAGCAGAGGTGGCAGGTAGCCAGCAAAGGAAAAAACAAAAATAACAAGGAGCTCGAGGTATCGTCCAAGATCATCGTAGAGAGGGCATGGAGAACAAGAAAGAAAGAAAGAAGAAAAGCACAAAGAGAGGCCGGAGGCAATACTAAGAGCATACAGCTTACGGCAGGGAAAAGGGAACACAGGGTGCGACAACATCATCAGTTGGGTACGTCGTTCGCCGCAAGCGCGGCCTTGGCCGCCCTACTCGCTTCTACAGCAGTGTCCGGTCGCCGTTTCTTCCCCCCCCCCGCCGCTTCCCCGATTCTCTTTCTCTTCGGGCCCGGGGCGGCCGTGCTCTCCGTCTCTGCTTCCTCCGCGCGCTGGCGCTGGCGCTTCGCGGATGCTTCCGCCTCCTGTCTGTGCCATTTCCTCATGAACCATGCCGCCCCGTCCTCGATCTTGTCGTACCACGCCTCCTGGTCCTTGGCGCTCTCTTTCCATCTCCCCCCCTCCTTCTCCTCTTTCATGCCAAACGCCACGAGGTCCTCTCCTAGGCGATACACCCAGTCGCTCTCCTGCCCGCCCCGGTATCCGGTACCCCCCGCCATCGCTCCCAGCAGCATGCGCTTGGGGAGGCGGTTGTCCTCCATGCGCATAACGAAGCCCGCAAAACACAGCCTCCGTTTGCGCACGGTGGCCTCGATGGTTTCCTCGCAGCCGGCCTGGATGAGGGCCTGGGCGTAGGACAGGGGTCGGTCTGAGCGCTTCCGCTTGCTCCAGCCGATACACCGTGTCAGGAACTGGCGGTGGGTCCCATTCAGCTTGGTGTAGTGCTCCGCTGCCAGGCTCCACGAGGCGCACCCGTATAGGAGGGTCTGCACCACTTCAGCCTGGAGTAGTCGGATCTTGTGTTCTCTCTCAACTCTGGTGTGTCCAGCCTCTCAGTTTTTGCTAGCTGGCTCTGCAACCTATGGGGCGCTGCTCGCGAGGCCACCTGTCCTCCGAGCTATTCCCTTTCGCTTGGCTGTCTTACGGGCAAACTGAACTGAACGCTTACTCGGGGACGGTGAGGCAGGTCACATCCCCTATCCCCTCCTTTTCCCACGAATTGAAACCGCCTTCCACAAACAACGCTTTCCTTCAGAACGCTACATTTTCGTAATACAAAAGCCCAAGCATGCAGCATGGGTTATTTTTGAGTGGCTTACTAAGGGTGGGTTCCATCCGCAGGGCTTGGTCCGGAGATGTCTCCACTATTCTATTTTCTACGCATAGTCTATAGTACAATCTACCTATCCATGTATACATACATCCATGATACGTAACTAGCTATTATTATTGGAGACCGCCGTATTATGAAGGAGAAATAAATACACGCACAGAAAGACTACCCATTCGGGATATACCCACATTCGAACGGGATGTGGTGGAGTCTTTTCAGTAAGTGGAGGAAAACCGGCTGGGAACTGGACGTATTTCGAGTCTTTATAAGTCTATACACTGATGATTTATCAGTAATGCCAGCTGGTGCTAAGTACTTCATGCAGCGGCCGAAATAATGGTTTATTTGACAAGAAAAGTTCATTCCTGAAACTGCCGTGTGTGTGCATAGTTTGTAAATAGATGCCCTAACGCTATTTTACTGCGAGTCCGCTCTCTTTGATGCTGGTGGAGGCGCATTTCCCCCTCTGGTCGTGCTTCGTGGGAGCGTCAACATCACATGGAAGAAGCGTGTGTGGCACTGACCAACACAGCAGAACCTCTTGATCGAGCACACCTTTTTTTTTTTTTCGCTGCTGCTCGGCCAACGCCGCCAACCAACGGCTAAACAAATGAGGCGTGTGCTGTGTTCGTGTATCATACATCATGGAAGATTCGAAAATATCAATGTTGGGCCAAATGTCACGGACGGAAAGACAGATACGCGAAGCAAACCCCACCGAACACTCTGTCCGGCGTGACTTGAACACCAGCTTCGGAGTTCACATTTGGCGCTAAAGAAGAGTCTCCACCGGAGAAATACGGTGTCGGGCGGCGGAGAGGATTTGTAACAGGTATACATCAATTTGTTCATGCGCGTGAGCTGCCGTGGGAGTTCTTACTGATGGTTTTGTTGTCTGCCTTCACTTTCGTTCCTCTCCGATCTCCATCATCATCGCCTCTCATCATCCATGTTTATTTAATTAGGATGTGATGAGTGTGCGTCTTGTATGGTACATCATGCGACCAGTGGGAGCCAGTGGACGCCCCTGTGTGTATGCTTCGAAATAGATGGTTGACAAGCGATCGATGGAGGATAGGCGGTCAGCTCTCGGCCATTGGACGCAGCAGAAACCCCCCGTCTAGGTCGCCACCGAAGGTAGCGAGCGCACCAGGCCAAAGCGTGGGATTTATTTCCTTGGGGCAGGCAGGCTACAGGCAAAATTCACCGGAGGAAGCACACAGCCTCTCACAATCCCGTAGTTGGCTCCCACACCAAGCCTTTGCAGCAGCAGCGAGTGCCCCAAGCACGCTGCCGCCCCCAACACCAGCCTCCCAGCCAAGCGATGGTCTCCGCGAGAGCGCAGTCGATCATACCCACCCTATCACAGAATGGTGCTGGTGCGTACACGGGGCACGCTTTTCCCCCTTTTTTTTCTTCCTGTAATTGCCGCGCCCTGCTCAACACTACGCACACCAGGCCTGCGGTCGTTGACAAATTACCTGCGAGACTCGGGATTCATACGCGGCCCTGTTTTAAGGTCTCCCCGCGCCTCGAACTTTAGATCCCGTCTCCCGGCGCGGGCGGGTATTGGTGCCGCTGCCGCTGGTGTGACTAGGGAGCGGGACACGAGAGATGCCACTATGCAGGACGCTGGGGAATCGGATGGCGGTGGCGGGGAAAAAACAACCGCGTCTAGCGAGGTGAGGCGGTCGTTCATTGTTGATGCGCTCCCTCCCGCCTCCAACGCCTCCAACGGCGATTTTTCTCTCTTGGAGGGTGTGCAGACTCCTCTGCTGCTGCTGCTGCTGCTGCTGCTTGTGTCGAACGACGGTTTTTTTCGTCCATGTTTGTTTTTGTTGGAACACATGTTCCAGGGGAAGAGGGAGCCGGAACACACACGCGGGAAGGGGGGCGCTCTGGGCCTGTCCTGTCATGTAGCTATGATGCTAGCGCAAAGACTTACCCAGCCGTTGTAGCGTGCATTGTGTGCATGAATGAATTATCTCTCGAACCTCTCATCGGGGTTTTTTTCATCTTTTCGCCATCAAAAAGCTGTGTGTACCCCGTCAAGGCGTTTACAGGCACACTTTCGCGTCCAACAGCTCGTCCCGTGTTCACGCCATTCACTACAGCGCCTACTCCATTCAGCTCGCACGCTAGACATCATGGGTCCTACCCTCCGACACTCATGTCTACTGCAGCACCTAGTTCGTACACAGTATCCTTTCAGGGGCACCTGTGTTTTGTTACTTATGTTATTCTACCCCAACAAACAAGCTGACACTAAGAACGACCACAACTTGTTTGGCCGCACAAATTGAAATGGTTGTTTCGGCGCCGTGCGTCAAACTGCGCTGCTTCTTGCGACCAATGTGCAGTGAAAAATATGCCGCATTTGTTGAGTAGGATGGATCAGGTTGTCCTGTGGTGGTTGCCGTCTAGGCGCAAACGAGTCCATCGAGGTTCTGACCTTCATGCCCTACCCCCTTTTCCCCACGGCGGCGATATACTTGCGCTGTAACTAACCACCAAGAACACATGACTCCCGCGAAATTTTGAAGTTGGGACAAACATTCATCATCGATCACAGAAGCACCGGGCGCCTCTCCAAACAAGATGATAATTGCCAACGGCATGTTTCCAGTGGTGGAAGTTTACTTTCTGAGCCAACGGTCTGAACCCCCGAGACAACAAGAACGTGAAGTATGTAAGATTGGGCCACCTGCTGGGCATGCAGCACAAGACGCGGGAGACTTCGCTTAAGTTGGGCCCGTCATGTCCGTCGGTGTATTAATTATCCATTACTGCAGAGAGAGAGAAACCCGACGTTCGATATCTGTCAACCACCACAACCATGCCCTGCAAGCGTATGCATGTCATCGTGAGTAAATTTATTTGACGGTGGCCATCGGTAGGAGATCGGAACGGTTTTAAATGTGAATTCAACAACAACAACAACAACAACAACAACAGCAACAATCGTCTAGTGGTATCCTCGTAATCCGCTTGTCGTGGAGGTCGTAAGTTCGAATTCCCATGGTGTGAAGAAACATGTACGAAATGCGTGGGGGTGAAGGGAAATATAGCTGACAAGCTCTCGTGAGTACAAACTTCGACGTTAGCACCGTTGACGAGGGAAAGGGACGGCTGGACCCTTGTCGCGATAAAAATAAAAAATTAGCACGCACCGCAGGAGGAAGGTGGGACATGAAAAGAAATTAGAAAAAAAGCCCTGGTGTTTACCCCCTCCTGTGTCACCCTGGATGATTGTAGTTGTACAAAAAAATACACTGAGAAGTGTGGTACACTACATACGCTATTAATAGGACGAAACACACACACAGATCGTCTCTGCCGGAGGCCGGAGGGATCAAGTAGCCGCGAGAGTGTTTATTTTCGTGCCCCACCGTCCTTCTGCGGTGCGTGCTGAATTTTTTTTTGAATTAACGTAACCTCACAAAAAGACTACCCGTTCGAGATATTACCTCAGTAGTAGGGGACTGTCGCCACAATAAATAGGACGAAAACACACACACACACACACACACACACACACATCTTCTCTGCCGGAGGCCGGAGGGATCAAGTAGCCGCGAGAGTGTTTATTTTCGTGCCCCACCGTCCTTCTGCGGTGCGTGCTGAATTTTTTTTGAATTAACGTAACCTCACAGAAAGACTACCCGTTCGAGATATTACCTCAGTAGGGGACTGTCGCCATAAAAATTGGACGAAAACACACACACACACACTGGTCAGCCGGTTAGCGCGGTCGATGCTAATAATAAAAACACACACACATCGTCTCTGCCGGAGGCCGGAGGGATCAAGTAGCCGCGAGAGTGTTTATTTTCATACCCCATCGTCCTTCTGNTTATTTTCGTGCCCCACCGTCCTTCTGCGGTGCGTGCTGAATTTTTTTTGAATTAACGTAACCTCACAGAAAGACTACCCGTTCGAGATATTACCTCAGTAGGGGACTGTCGCCATAAAAATTGGACGAAAACACACACACACACACTGGTCAGCCGGTTAGCGCGGTCGATGCTAATAATAAAAACACACACACATCGTCTCTGCCGGAGGCCGGAGGGATCAAGTAGCCGCGAGAGTGTTTATTTTCATACCCCATCGTCCTTCTGCGGTGCGTGCTGAATTTGTTTTTGAAGGAAGTAAACGTAACTTCACAGAAAGACTACCCGTTCGAGATAATCCTCAGTCGAAAGGAGTGTGGTGAAGTCCTTTCAGTAGGTGGATTGAAACCAACTGAAGAATCGGCTCATTTTGAGATTGTGTATGCCTAACACTGAGTTATCAGTAATGCCAGTTGGAGCTATTTCAGAACAAAAGCATTTGTATAGGAGGATACATTCCACGGGCAGGTTTAGTACAGTACAATACTGCCAGTATTTTCAGTATTGCAGT